CCCCCCTCCCTCTCCTCCGCTCCCCCACCCGGCTCCCACAGGCGCTCGCCCTCTCGTACAGCCTGAGGCGGTACGCCGGCGTCCCAAGCTACGTGCTACCCTCTGACCCTGCCCTCCCCGAGTACAGCGGGAACATGTCAGCCGGGCTGCCCCCCGGCAAGCTTGACGTCCAGGGTATCAGCAAAGCAGCAGAAGCAGCCGCAATAGCAGCGGGCTTCGCTCGCCGAAAGAAAATGTTCCGACGGCGGGCCAGACTCGGCGCTGTTGTTGCCTCTGCCCCCGATCAATCGAGGCGAAGACTAGGCAGCCTCGCGTCGCCATCGGACCGAAACTCGAGATCGTTACAGGCGGCCAGCGGCGGCCGCGGCGATGCTTCCGCTAGGGAAGACACCGACAGTTCGCCCTCCTCGCTTGTGCGGCGGCTGGACGAACCGCAGCTGCGGGCGCAGTTCCGAGACCTCTCGGCGAGGGGGGGTCAGTTCTTCCGAACCGCCGACCACTCCCCCGAGAACCTGGTGCTCATCGTGGTGGACGGCCGGGACCAGGCGGAGTTGCTTGGGCCTCTCTACCGGGAGATCGTGGAGGGGGGCGGGGCTGCCGCTTCGGGAGGTGCGGAGGTGTTTGTCGTTTTGGTGAGTGTTTGTTGGGGAGCTATAGTTTGCGGGGTACTCCTGTTTCGCATGGCCTAGCTGTTGGCGTCGCTTCACGGGGGATGAAGGTTCTCGTGGCCGTGCACGCCGTAGTCGTTAGGCCATTGACCTCGCATCCCTGCAAAGCCGGGACGGAGCACGCCGGGGTTGGGATGAAGTTCGGTTGTGGTGCAAATGTATTCCAGCACGCACGCACTCACGCGGAGCGTGAAAAAAGTGTGGGTGTTCTAGCCCCGCTGGAGTTTGTGAAACCCATTGCTCGCGCATTGGGAGTTGTAACACTCAAGCGTGTTTTGTCTGAAACGGAAGAGGTATTGGACGTCCGGGACAGCGAAAACGATCGGGGAGGTTGCCGAGGCCCGGACCAGTTCTGCGGCGAGCGAGTGCGTTTTTTTTGTGTGTTCATGTTTCGTGACGTGGACACTGGATGACATGGGGCCCTTGACCGCCTGAAACTATGTACACGTCCAGTAGTCGACCGATAGTACTTTAATAATTATTCCCTTGGAAGTACTTTTCCAGCTATTGGAGACATGTGTGTATGTGTCCCACACGCGCGCACACGCGCCATATGATCTGACTTCCCCAACACTCGAAATTGAGGACTCTTACCCCACGCGTGGTTCCGCAACACAGATAACGCATGGCCCCGACAATGTCGAAGATGAGACATCCTCACAGCAACAGCAGCAGGAGGCTCTTCGAGCCCCCCCTGTGCCGGCGACAGCTCGCCGCGACTGCAGAGAGGTAGCCGAGGCATTAGGTGTGTCCCCGCCGAAGGCAGCAGCAGGCCGCGGCGGCAGCAACGACAACGCCGGTCGAAGCAAGACGGGCGGGGGTAACAGTGACCTGAACCACCCAATACAGCGACCCAGGGGGCTCGGCGAAGTGTTCGGCGAGGGGAAGGGGGGGGGGG